CCATCCTGTGGCCCAGGGTGACTTTCCTGAATGGAATGTGTTTTCCCCCAGCTCTGTTCCCTTCCTGTTCTTCCCCCATCAGAGGCACTAACCAGTTGGTTCTGAATGTCAACCACTAATGGTTAGCTGCTTTGCTTTTGGGCCCCCCAGCTTGCTCTTTGAATAAGGATTTTATGTGTTTTAGATTCAGGATTATGTTACTTAGTGAAGTCAGTCTTATCCATGCTCTTATGCCCAAAGTTTAAAGCTCTATTCTAGAAAATATTGAACTAGTAGTAGCACTATCTGTAATTAATCTAGATAGTAACCACACCACCACAGTGGACAATATGTTCCAAGACTCTTAGTGGATGACTTGAAACCATGGGTAGTACTGAACTCTTATATGCAGCATTTTTCCCATACATAGTTACTTAAGATTGTTTATAAGGTAGGTATAGAGATTGACAACAGTAACTAATAGTAAAGTAGAGCAATTATAGTGTAGTATAATAAAAGTTATGTGAATATGCTCTTTCTCAATGTCTTACTGTGCACAAATTTTTACAGCTAGAGTACACAATTTCTTTTCAATTTTTTGTTGTTGTTTATTTCCCTTGAGACAAGGTCTTACTGTATAGCTCAGGCTGGCCTACAACTCACTGTGTAGCATGGACACGGACTGGCCTCAAATGGAGATCCTCCTACTTCTGCCTTCCTAGTTCTGGGATTAAAGTCATGTGTCCCCATACCTAGCTCCTTCTTCCTTCCCTTTTTTAAATTAAGAAAGGATTGCATTATGTAGCCTAAGCTAGTCTGAGTGCTGAGATTGTAAGTGTACATCACCACACCTGTCCAGTTTCTCTTTTCTAACTAAAACTAGAACTTTTACTTTTTCACTTACAGAACATAATGACTTGTCTTTGGGAAATCTGAATCGACAACATTACTGCTTTTGGACTTTGGGACCATTGGTTAAGTAAAATAAGGGTCACTGCAGTACAGTGACAGTCTTGTGACCTGTTGACTAAGTTGCTACTAAGTGACGGATGAGAAGATAGCATGTTCAGTGCTGAATAAAGCGATGATTAATGTCCCCAGCAGGATGGAGCAGGGTGGTGCAAGATTTGTCATGTTGTTTAGAATGGTATACAATTTAAAACTTCAGAATTGTCTATTTCTGGAATTTTCCACTTAATATTGTTTTTGGCTGCATGTTGTTGAAGCTGGGGAGAGTGAAACTGTGGATAAGGCAATTACTACTGCAATGTGTTTATCGTACGCCACCCTGTATAGCAAGCAGGTTTTACTCATTAGTGCTTAGCACTTCATCCCCAACGATCCTGTTCTGTTGTTGTCCACATTTTATAGATATAAAGCCACCAGAAAATGAAATGACTTGCTTAATAGTATGAATCAATAATTGCAGAATTTTGAATCTGAGCAGCATGACTTCTTCAGAGTATTTGTTTTTCTTTCTTTTTTTGAGACAGGTTCTTACTACATAGTCTAAACTGGCCTTGAACTTGAGATTCTCCTGTTTCTCCTGACTGCTGGGAATGCAGGCCTGTTAGGTCCTTACTTTTAGGCTGTATATGCTGTTGCTAGGCACGCTTCACCCTCCATTGTTTTATGGAATCTTTAATCTCACTGCACTGAAGAGCAGAAAGGAATTTGATGTTTTAATGTATTAAAACGACTCCTACCTTCTAGGAACAATTTATACTTAGTGGAATTTCCTTTAAAAGATAAAAGTGCATTTCAATACATAGGACCGCAGTCCCTTATGTGAAGAAGTCAAATGCACTCCTTTAAAAAAAAAAAAAAGTAACCGTTACTAGAAAACTGGAAGTGGTGCTGTGATTCAAGTGGTAGAGCACTCGCCTTGAGCTGAAGAGCTGAGGGACAGCGCCCAGGCCCAGAGTTCAAACCCCACAACCGAGCAAAAAAAAAAAAAAAAGTAAACCCACATTTATACTGTACCTTTGTCTTCACTAACCTGTAATCTTTTATTCAGAACCAGATATATGTTAAGGTCCAGTTTTGTGCACATTGATGATAGGGTTGGTTTTCTTGACCATTCCATTCTGAAAGTTCTGTGCCTCAGAGAGCCAGGGCAGTTCAGGGTGAGTCCACTACAAAGCGTCTACTTTATGACTTCTTCAATTACGGTGTGACCAGGTGGGAGGGAAAAAGTGCAAAAGTCTGGTCAATTATCTCAAGAGCTTTCTCTGAATGTGCTGTCAGCCAGTGGGATGTGAGGGGTGGGAAGGTCCTGATGTTCACATCAACACTCGTCTCTTACACAACGTGGCATACACATCAAGCACACGTAACACATACTGCTCCTTCAGAACGCACCTCCCACCATTTCCAACACACCTCACTGGAGTTCTGTTGTGAGCATTTGCTTGTGAATTCTTGATCCTGTTACATAAATGAAAGCACTCCTTCCAGTCCTAATTAAGGTTTTATTTATAATTATGAAGAGCCCAACTATTTCTTCAATAGACATGCTTATCATGGTATTTGTGCTTTGAGAGCTGTCCTGAGGGAAGCAGGTGCAGATAGCAGACCAGTTGCTGCAGTTACAGTTCTGTATGTGATCTGACACAGACCACACACATGCTAGTGGTTCTAGGTCACAGGGACCCTGGATATGACTCAAGGTTTACGTGGCTCAAGATTTCTTATAGACCAAACAGTTGGCAAGATCCGTTGATGATTTTATTTCTCTTCAATTAATTTCCCTACCACCTTTTTACCCATTGTAATTCTTTCTGTCGTCAAACTTCCTTCTTCATGAATTCTTTCCCTGTATATAAGTCTCTTCCCTAGCTGAAGACCATCCACCTATATTCCATCCCTGTAACTGTGCAGAGCTCTAGTATTTGTTCATTGTACTTGTGGTGCTCTATCATCTGTTGCACCTGTCTCTGTCCCTGCTAGATTGTGAGTTCCTTGAAGTTAGGGCCATGGCTGGTTATTCCTTGTCCCTTGAGCTCATTCCATCACATTCCATCTACAAGCAAGGCTCCATGGTCTTGGTATTGAGCTGAAGCTTGTCTTCTATATTCTTCATGCTGATATCTCTGAAAAAAAAAATCCAACTAAAGTTATCTTCATGGTATTCATTACTTTAGTTGTTCAAATAATTTACCATGTATGTTCCATTCTGTCTTTATTTCTCTGAGTTAAACATTTGTATTGTTGAGATTTTGCTCCTTTTGTTTTCCTTGCTCCTCAGTAAAATTTATTTCCCTTTCTCAGAATATAAGATCTTAGAATCTAGGGGCTGGGGAGGTGGCTCAGTGGTAGAGTGCTTGCCTTGCATGCATGAGGCTCTGGATTTGATTCCTTGGCATCACATAAACAGAAAAAGCCTGAAGTGGGAGTTGTGGATTAAGTGATAAGAGTGCTAGCCTTGAGCGGAAGAGCTGAGGGACAGCGCCCAGGCCCAGAGTTCAAGCCCCATGACTGACCAAAAACAAAACAAAACAAAAAACTGAAAAAAAAAAAACTTAGAGTCTAAAGAATTGGAGGGGGCTAGGGTTTGTCTAGTCTCAGGTTTTCATGTAACTTACATTGGTGATAACTGAAGTAATTGAAATAGATATAAATATTTCCTTATCATTTTCAGTGATACACTTTAGTGGGTTACAACCAAGTTTTCCACCTTTCATTCTACTTTAAAATGTTTGTACTGCTGTATGTGATGGTATATACCTTGGGAAGCAGAGGCAGGAAGAGCTCTAGTTCCATATCAGCCTGGGCTACACATCAATAACTTGTGTTTTTAAAAAAACACCAAACAACAAAAAAGTTTGATGTTGATGTCTTCAGAATAATGGGTCAAATGGAATGACACATTCTCTGTGGGACCAATGTCTATATGGCACAAAAGGATCTTTGGATCTGACTGTACGTCACTTCTGGGGTTCATTATTTACTATGTGCCTCTATTTCCATATTAACAAGACAAGATTCATAATAATACTGGTGTTGCAGGTTTTTTTGGGGGAGGGGGTCATAGGGCTTGAATTCTGGGCCTAGGCTCTGTCCCTGAGCTCTTCAGCTCAAGGCTAGTGCTCTACCACTTGAGCCACAGTGCCACTTCCATTTTTCTGGTGGTTAATTGGAAATAAGAGTCTCACAGACTTTTCCTGCCTGGGCTGGCTTTGAACCATGATCCTCAGATCTCAGCTCTTCTCAGATCTCAGCCCCCTAACTAGGATTATAGGCGTGAACCACTGGTACCTGGCTGGTGGTGTGGATTTAAATGAGTTAATAGATGTAAAGCATGAAGAATGATTACTAAGATGTAATAGATGTAAAGCATGAAGAAGGATTACTTATTGACACACAATCACTATTCAGAATTGTTGCTACCACAAAATTGACCCTACTCTTCTTCCTCTTGAGCTACATAAGCACTGGTGAAGTGTGAGTAGCCCTGTGTGAGTTCTGGTGGATCCTTGCTAAAACCTCACATACCTGTCTTATAAGCTTCTTGTCTTGACATGAGGCCTTACATACTGCTCTCTGGGCCCATAACCACATCTGTGCAGTCAAGAAATATTTGGTCAAGAGTTTTAATGGACCAAGGATTTAGAACCTTTTCTTTTTTTCTGCCAAGGGCCAATGGGATATTTATACTATCATCCACGGGCCATATAAGATGACCAATATAGGAAGATGGCCATGGACAGTCAACCAGGATCATGCAAGAAACATACTTGTCTATCTAGTCATGTACCAAATGATTCCACGTCTTAAAGGGCCCAGAGGCTGCACATAACCCACCCCTGAAAGCAACTTGAGAAATTCAGAAGACCCATTAGCTTCTAGAGTTTGTTCCTTTGACACGACCTTGTTCTAGGGCCCCATTTCCTGTCCTTTTACAAAGACTAAATTTGTTTTCCTCATTGACATTCTGAAAGCAAAACACTAGCAGTGTATTTTATAGACTATATTTTGAAGTGAATTTGATTGTCCTAAGTGAACTGTTCCTCTGTCAACAGGTTGCTATTAAGATCATAGATAAGACCCAGCTGGACGAAGAAAACTTGAAGAAGATATTCCGGGAAGTCCAAATAATGAAGATGCTTTGCCACCCTCACATCATCAGGCTCTACCAGGTAGGAAGATTCCTGGCATGGTGGGTGAATGGCTGTAGAATCAGATTGGTCTGTTTTATCTGAAGCTGCCTTTGAAGAACATGTGGATGGTGACAATCTGTGACTTTCCCTGTTTCTGTGTTCATATGTCCATCTCACTATCTACTCCTCCCTTCTACTTTCTCACTCAGTATTTAATATCCTGTTTCTCCTCACTATTTCCTAGTGAGGTCTGACTAACCTGGAATAGGTCCTATTAATTCTTTTTTTTTGGGGGGGGGGAGTCAGCTGTGAGTCTTGCCCTCTGGGCCTGGGAGCTGTCCCTGAGCTCTTCAGCTCAAGTTGAGTGCTCTATCACTTGAGCCACGGGGCCACTTCTGGTTTTCTGGTGGTTAATTGGAGATAAGAGTCTCACGGACTTTCTTGCCTGGGCTGGTTTTGCACTGTGATCCTCAGATCTCAGCCTCCTGAGTAGCTAGGATTACAGGTGTGAGCCACCAGCACCCAGCTACTAATTCATTCTTTAAAATTTGATTCCTTAGCCAGGTGTTAGTGGCTCATACCTGTAATCCTAGTTACTCAAGAGGATCTCAGTTCAAAGCCAGCCCAGGCAGTGAAGTCCGAGAGACTCTTATCTCCAATTAACTACCAAAAAGCTGGAAATGGCACTGTGGCTCAAAGTGGTAGAGCACTAGCCTTGAGCACAAAAGTTCAGGAATAGCACCCAAGTCCTGACAATCAAGCCCAAGGATTGGCAGTAAAAGTAAAAAATAACATTGATTTTTTGGGGGAATGGGCTTGTAACTTAGTGGTAGAGTTTGCCTAAAATGAATGAGGTTCTGGTGTGAATCCAAGCAAAAAATGCACCTGTACAAACACATCCTTTCTAAATTGGAAAAGGTGGCAAGTACCTGTAGTCCTAGTATTTGGAAAGCTGAGATAGGAGGATCATTGGGTTCCAGGCCAGCCTGGCCTGTATGCATCCCTGCTTTAAGAATAAACAAACACCCCTACCCTCAAAACATAAACAAAACAAAATAATACCCTAAGACCTTGCTGACTTTCTCAGCAAGAATTACCCAAAGAGATTGTTTAGGTGATAAGACCTTACTTTACTTAAGTTCACAGTCCTAAAGTAGGGTGGGAAACCCAAAGGAACAAAGACTTTGGAGAGGTGAAAAGATAATAATGAATATTATTTTCTTGTACAATTTTGTGTGTGTGTGTGTGTGCGCACGCGTGCGTGCATGCGTGCGTGCTAGTCCTAGGGTTTGAACTCAGGGCCTGGGGACTCAAGGCTCTACCACTTGACCCACAGCTCCACTTCTGACCTGTTTTGTGGTTAATTGGAGTTAAGAGTCTCACAGACTTCCCTGCTCCAGCTGGTTTTGATCTGTGATCCTCGGATCTCAGCCTCTTGAGTATCTAGGATTATAGGCACAAGCCATTGGCGACTGGCTCTCATAAAACTATTCAGAAATTAATTTTTGTGCTCATGTTCAAAATTGTGATGGCAATGCAGTTGCGGGTCTTGAACTCAGGACCTGGGTAATATCTCAGAGCTTTTGTACTCAAGACTAGCACTCTACCACTTTGAGGCACATGCTATTTTTTTTTTTTTTTGTCGGTCGTGGGGCTTGAACTCTGGGCCTGGGCGCTTGTCCCTCAGCTCTTCAGCTCAAGGCGAGAACTCTACCACTTGAGCTACAGCGCCACTTCCGGTTTTCTGGTGGTTGGAGATAGGAGTCTCACGATCTCTCCTGCCCGGGCTGGCTTTGAACTGCGATCCTCAGATCTCAACCTCCTGAGTAGCTAGGATTACAGACGTGAGCCACCAGCGGCCCGGCTGAGGCACATGCTATTTTAAGTATAGCTTCTTACCTCAATTAAAACCTACCCCTTTTCTTTTTTTTTCTTTTTTTGTTGGTTTTTTTTTGGGGGGGAGGAGGGTCCTGTCGTGGGGCCTGAACTCTGGGCCTCGGCGCTGTCCCTCAGAGCTTCAGCTCAAGGCTAGCGCTCTACCACTTGAGCCACAGCGCCACTTCTGGCTGTTTTCTTTTTGCTTATGTGCTGCTGAGGAATCGAATCCAGGGCCTCAGGTATGCAAGGCAAGTGCTCTACCACTGAGCCACCTTCCCAGCCCCCGGCTTTTTATTTTCTGCTTATGTGGTGCTGAGGAATCGAACCCAGGGCCTCATGCATGCAAGGCAAGCGCTCTACCACTGAGCCACCTTCCCAGCCCCAAAACCTACCCCTTTTCTAACAGAGTTCTGGGTATAGTTTTCTAAGGAAGCATTTAATTTTGATAATCCAGGATCAGATCCTATGTCATGAAAGAGGTTTTTGTTATACTTTTCTTCCTTTCCTAAGAAATATACATATTTCACATGAAGCCCTAGATTTGATTCCTTATACCACATAAGCAGAAAAGGCCAGAAGTGATGTTGTGGCTCGAGTGGTAGAGTGCTAGCTTTGAGCAAAAGAAGCTCAGGGACAGTGCCCAGGCCCTGAGTTCAAGCCCCAGGACTGGCAAAAAGAAAGAAAAAGAAAGAAAAAAAGAAGTACACATAGTTCATACCATCGTCAAAGTGATCCTTTAGCCCTAATGCAAAAGCAGTAAATCTGATGGATGGAATTTCAGACAGAAGGTGAGGGACTTAGCAGGCTGGTGGAAGACATATTTTGGGCAAGGTGGGGTTTTGGGAACTGCTCAGATTGCAGTGTGCTGGTAGCAGTGGCTGCCTGTGCTCAGGACCAGCCCTGCTCCCTGCTTTCCACTGCAGGAGTCCCCTCCCAAGTTGTGAAGGAGGCGGCCACCCACTCAGTTCCTTTGCTGCTCTTAAACTGCAGTCAAGGCTTCTGACCCAGACACAGGAGTATGCGTAAGACTGAAGAAAGCACACCAACAGCATGAGGGGCCCTGGGCCCACTTGCATGGCCTGTTATTTTTATGGAAAAGAAAACATGCTGCGATGTTAATGTGTGACTGAGGCTGTAGCTTTAGAGTTCTGCTGGCCTCAGCTGCCTATGTGATGAAATGAATTAGTAGGAACAGACCTGTTGAAGAGTATCAGACAGAATTCAGTGAAATGACACCTATCTTCTGTCCAAGAACATACTTCTTGGTATTTCCTGAAGTCCTATTCTATAGGCTTGAAGGTGTCTTAAAACCTTTGGCTTTAGTCGGTCTCTGATGGCTTATGCCTATAATCCTAGCTACCCAGAAATCTGAGATCTGAGAAAGCCAGCACTGGCAAGAAAGTCTTCTAAGAGACTCTTTATCTCTTTTTAACCACCACAAGCACAAGACCTTCTTCTGAAAAACAGCTAATGTAAATAGGGCTGGGGCATTGCTCAAGTGATAGAATGCTTGCCTAACAGTCATGAGGTCCTGAGTTTCAGCCCCAGTACTGCACTCCCCTTCCCCCCCACCCCCTTAAAAAAAAAGGTGGCAACTGGAAAAGCTAAAGCTGTATTTGCAATGCCTGTGTTTCTGTTGTGCAACACTGCTCTGCAGAAGTGCATGGTACATTATCCTGTGCTCCTTGAGAGGAGCGATAGAAATGCAGTTAGTTACTGGGGAAACCTTTACTCTTTGGTTTATATATGAGATATTTAAAACGTTTTCAGCAAGTGTGGTATATATTCATATATTTGACTGCTGGAATATGTTTGATTAAAAAGTAAGACAAGACTGACAACATGAATTTTGAAAGGGTTGCAAAATAGGGATCAAGACAAAATACACATAAATCATTTATGTTACTTAAAGGGTTTGTATTTTTTGAGTAAATGGATGGTAGGAAGGAAAGTTATCATTTCCTTTTTTTTTAAGGCTCTATGGAGTTCTGTGCAGTTCTAGAACAATTCCTCATATTTTTATTAAAGTGTTTTTTATTTGGGTTGGGTTTGGCGGGCACTTTTTGATTGGTGTTGAACGTGACATTTTAGTTCTTAGCTTCTGCTCTGCCTCTCAGCTTTGCGATCTTAACAGATTGCAGAGCTCTCCATGGAAGCTCTGTGTCCGTGTCTCAGTAGTGAATGCTTCCTGCTTGAAGAACTCCTAACATTTATATCTGTTTTCCCCAAAGTGTTTTACATTTCCTTTAAGTGTAATGGTTATCAATATTTCAAATGAGAAAAGTTATCAGTTTCTCTTCTTCTGATATCTGCCTGTCATTTGTGTCACTGTCTGTCACTTTCCTGCCTTTGCACCAGGTTATGGAGACAGAACGGATGATTTATCTGGTGACAGAATATGCTAGTGGAGGGGAAATTTTTGGTAAGTACATTTATTGCATTCTTTAACCAGCTATTGAGCACACTGGCAAAGCAAAAACAGCTATTCATGGAAGTGGCGCTGTAGCTCAAGTGGTAGAGCGCTCGCCTTGAGTTGAAGAGCTGAGGGACCACGCCCAGGCCCAGAGTTCGAGCCCCACGACTGACAAAAAAAAAAAACTATATAAAGAGCTATTCAGTGTTAGGTCATGTGAACAGCTGTCCTCTGCTACAGCTATTTGGTTTCAACAAAATAATTCTAACTCTTTGGATTCACTTAGTTAAATTTCTCTAGCATCTTTGTTTGCTTAGCAAAGGTATTTTGTATTCTAGTGAGGTATTGGGAGTTGAGATTAAAGGTGTCCCTAAACAAGCAGTCCCTCTGATCCTGTGACAGGGCCTTCCTATTGGCAGTTGTTTCTAGCTAAGGTCAGGTGTGACAACACTCCCTCAAGTGTGTCTGTCATGAGAGTCAGCACCACTGGGAACAGAATTCGTGCCCTAGTGACGCCTCACAGCTTGTTCAAATACAACATGTAACTGCAATCCTTACCGGGCTCCCTGTTTCCCTTCATGGTTCTTCTCGCAGTTTTGGAGGTTTTGTGATTTTTTTTTTTCTCCTACACTTACCCTTAGCACAATATCAGAAATAAGCAGGAGAATTTGTTACTTGAAGATCTGACTTTGAAGTGGTCAAAATAAACAGAAGTCTTCTCTTTGCTAACAGTGATTAGTGGAGTCAAGTAGAGGAAAAGAGAGTAAACTTTCCAAACTAAATTCACTTTTTGTGTGTGTGTGTGTATGCTAGTTCTGGGGTTTGAACTCAGGGCCTAGATGCTATCCCTGAGCTTTCTTACTCAAGGCTAGCATTCTACCCCTTAAGCCACAGTTCTAGTTCCAGCTTTTTTTTGTGGTTAATGGGAGATGAGTTTCATGAACTTCCCTGCTTGGGGTGTTTTCAAACCATGATCCTCAAATCTTAGCCTCCTGAGTAGCTAGGATTACAGATGTGAGCCAACAACGCCCATCTCAACAGAAGAAACTGGTCATGACGGCATACTTGTTATCCTAGCTATGGAAGGAAATATAAAATAGAAGGATCAAGGTCCATCTGCTGGCTAACACAAAAATAAATGGGAATCAACTGTTGGCATGATTAATGCAAAAACTACTGTGAAAACCTTATGTATGTATGTGTGTATGTATATATGTATGTATGTATGTATTTAACTCTTGCTGCACTTTCTTGCTTATGGTTAGCACTCTGTCACTTGAGTTACATTTCCAGTCTGGCATTTTGCTTCTCCCTTCCTGAAAGTCTCACCACTAACCCTATCAGAGCTTGTTTTAAAAACTTTTTTTTTAAATAATAAAAAGCTGGGCGTAGTTGTAATCCTATCTTACTTGAAGCAATGATTGGAAGATCACAATTTGAGGCCTCTCTGGACATAAAAGTTCTTGAGACTCCATCTTAACCAATATCTGGGCATGGTGGTATTTTCCTGTTATTCCAGCACAAAGGGATGCACACTGTTTCCCCAGTAACATGAGGAAAGCATAAGTAGAAGGAGCCTAGCCCAGGCTGGTCCTAGAATAAAGTGAGACTTTCTTGAGACCTTATCTGGAACATAAAAAGTGACTAAAAGCATGACTCAAGTGGTAGAGCACATACATACCTTTCTAGTGCAAAGCTCTGAGTTTAATCCCTTCCCCTTCCCCCAGGAAAGAATAAAAGGAACAGGCCTTCTAAAGTATATGGAAGAGTCTAGGGTTGGAGGAGTCCTAAGGACAAATGGCAAATGAAGGAACTCATAAACATCTATGAAAATTTGGCGCATCTGATAGTATGTAGTACTTGAACCAATATAATCCATTCAGTTTATACCTGTGCAGCTAAGTCTCCTTTCTACTAGCACCTGGACAGGTTGCTTTCTTCCCAGGAAGAGCAGGTCATCAGCAGTTAACCATTCTTCTCCCAATTAGTTATCTGTTGCTGATGCTGTCCTGCAGAGGCAGTGGAGAGATGAAGACTTTCTTCTCCTACCCAGCCTTGGTTTGTAGAAATCAGGGGAGCATGCTGAGAATACAGGGATGTAGGGCATTCTTACCTAGCCGCCTAAGACAGTGGTTCTATGCCAGGAGAGGCATACTGAGAGGACCGCAAGCTGAACTCCCCTCTACTTCCCTAAGCTCTCATTTCCTGCAGTGGGTTATCTTTCAGAAGTTTATTACCACCTCTAGTTCTAGGTCCTGGCTCACTTTTTGCCTGGGGAGAAAAACACCATAAAACAGCTCTTAATTTCTTCCTTAAGGAACTCGGGAGCTGTAGGGGTGGTAGTAAGCGAGGGAGAAGATTCAGGAAACTTGCCTAGCCCTCAGCCTGACTTGCACCAGAGAGACTCAGGGAATAAGACATCTGGAAAGAACTTTCCTACAATCTGAACAAACCATTCCTTCAAAGGAGCCAGAATTTGACTGTATTGTTTGTAAGCCAATTTATGCCCCTGGGCATTGTTTAAAACAATGGAGCAATCAGCCATAATCAGTGGAGTTTAAGAGCTGGGTTTCATCAGAAAAAGAACAGGAGAGAATCCTACCCAAAACATGGTGATCCTAGCATAATGCTGGGTATAGCATAGCTTCACCTCCCGGAGGACAGTGTCTGAAGCTCCACTGACAATAACAAGCCTGGGAAGATGGAAGACATGTACATGTAATGAATGATGTAAGATGTCCAGTTTCCAACAACAGCAAAACTATAAGACATACAAAATCAAAGCAAAACTAACCAAGAAAAGTACAAACTATCTACTGGACAAAAAGCAGACCACTGAAACTGCCTATTTTAGTGAGACCAGATGTCAGATTTATTAGAAGAAAAACTTGAGAGACATTATAAACATGTTTCCTGAAATAAAGGAACTAAAATTAAAGTAATAAAGGAATGTGTGATGTTACTTAGAATAGAGAATGCCAATGAAGGGAAATTATTTAAGAAAACAAATGAAAGTTATGGAGTTAAAAAGTAAAATAAATGAAATAGAAAAATTCATTAGAGAGGCTTAGGCCTGGATTCAAAATGGCAGAAGAAAAAGCATACTTGATCAATAGAGATTGCGCAAACCAGAGAATAGAGATATGATGAACTAAAAACATAGCCTCAGGGAAATTTGGGGCACTGTCAGGTATACCAGTGTATGTATACTGGGGAGTATTAGAAAGAGAGGAGAGAAAAAGGAGGGGGGGCAAAGGGAAATAATTGTTGAAAACTTTACAAATATACTGAAAAGCAATAACCAAGTGAGCTAAATACAGTGATCCACAAATAGACATACCATGGTGGGAATGATAAAAGTAAAAACCTTTTAAAAATCAGGTGTGGTAGGAAATGTATTCAGTACCTTACTCATGTAACTGTAAGCCCTCTGTACAGTATCTTTACAATAAAAAATATATACTAAAAGAAAACCAGGTGTGGTGGTGCTTACTTGTAATCCTAGTTCTCAGGGCATGGAGGTACAGGAGAATGGACGCTTTGTGGCTAGCCTGGGCTACAAATGCAAGACCCATCTCAAACAAATGATTTTTATGAATGTTGTTTATTATTCACTATGAGATGTCATGTGGCTCTCTTTGCATTGCCCAGTGGGAATTAGGCTTGTAGAACTGTAGCAGGTATGTTGATACCCATGCCTTTTCAAAAAAAAACCTTTAATTTTGGAGCATTTCAGAATTTGGATTAGGGATGAACAGATAAAACCTGCAAACTCTGAGTAACTATGGAGTAGGGAATTCTTGTGGTCCCAAGCATTTCAAAAAAGGAATAGGCTGCATTGGAGATAGCATAATGTTAAGCAGAGGACAAGTTGAAGATATGATCACAGGAGTAGTTGCTGAACTCAGTGGAGTTTGATAGATTGTCACCAGAAAGAAAAGAATTCAAAGTAAGTTGTCCACTGCTGTGGGTACAAACACTGCCTAGGGTGACTGGAACTGGGTTTCACTATCTGATAAATATGGAGGCCAGGGAAGTAGAAGAGGGTGTATACACACTGACTAAGCATGAACCATAGACCTGTGAAGCTACTTAAAGAGCTTACATAAATGACTTCCCAGTTACTTGAAGAATGTTTGTCTTTTTTTTTCCTTCAAGATACTAATGATTAGCCTCACAAGAGGTAGTGGAAATGGTGGCTATAACTGGGAGGCATCAGGACACAGATTAAAAAGCCCTGCTGCTCTTTTTAACTTTTGTGACCCATGTCAAATGTCACTGTTCTGTGAAGACCTGAATGAGAAAACATTGTGTGTTGGTAATATGGCTTTAACTCAGGGCCTGGGCAGTATCCCTGAGTTTTTCCCCTTAAGTTTGGTGCTCAACTACTCACTCAAGCCACAGCCCCACTTCCAGCTTTTTGATGATTGACTGGAGATGAGTCTCCCAGACTTTCCCACCCAGACTGGTGTTGAGTCCTGATCCTCAGATTTCAGTCTTCTGAGTAACTAGGACTATAGGTGTAAACCACGGTACCCAGCTGAAACATCTTTTGGGTTTTCTCATTAACTGTGCAGATCATGAATTAAAAACACTGTGATGGATTTCACTAAATGGTTATTGAATGAGTATTACCAACTTTATTAAGACAGATATCGCATGTCAAGTATTTAGCACTGTATTATAAAGGGACAGCCCTGACAGTATGGCCTTGCTTAATAAATACCGGAAGAATTGAGAAACTAGTTTTTTTTGTAAACCATTAAACTCATAATTTAAAACTTACACAATATGATTTCTTTAGATACATATCCCCAACTTCCTGCTGGAGACCATGTTGTCATAAATCCATAACTTTATCAAGTAAAGTTTCCTGAATAGAGGCGGAACTCATGGGCATCTAAAACAAATTACTAATTTAAGAAGAGCCTGTTGAAATGTGTATGATTTATTATCAACACTCTCAGTGTCTTAAAATAACATTCCTAATGATGACATACACACACACA